CCCGCGCGGAGAATAAACTGAATTTATACGACAACCCTGTTCTCTCTTTTAAGAACCGTAATTACAGGGAATAAATTAATTCACAACGTTCCATCCGATCTTCGCGGTCTATGTACAAGGAGAATCAATAAAAATGTTTGTGTTAAGGGACAAAATTTTCTTTCAATAAATTCTATTAAATATAAAATTCACACAAGACGTCTTTAGGTAGTAAGTCGAGTCGTTTCATCCCGCCTGAATGAATTAATTTTGAGATATCTTCCGGGAGGAAACAATTCCGTTGGGTGTCAGTGTTTCGAGTCTGTCAGGGCCGATGAGATTCACGGGTGAATCCTCGAACAGCGCATTTCAACAGCCGGAGAAAACGGCGGCTGACGATCTCGTACTCGATTACATCGGATTACGAGCGAAGAGGAGATGAAGCGCGTGCGAGAAGCATCAGTTCTATCGCGAACTTATCTCCTAGAACTGTTCGACCGGGTAGGAAGCATTTAAAATGCATGAGAAAAATACGGAACCAGAGATCCGGACAACGCTTTAATCGCGGCTGGGCTATAGACGGGATTATCATAATTGAACGCGAGTTCACGAACGTCGCGAATTAGGATCGACCCGTCTCTCGTTAAACCCTTCGAAGACCAAACGTACGGGAAATTCTAATCCTTGTTTAGCCGTCTCTCTGTAATTACCGTTTCATGTTGATACATGTTAAGAGAGGAATAACGATTCTTTCAATGGGATACTATTCCTGTGTGAATTTATTACGAGTCTGTGTTAGATCATTGCAAGAATTCGTGTCCAGGTCAGATCTCGTTGTACTTTGAAATAAATGCTTGTTTCATTATCATGTAATAAATCTGTCAAAAAATTCTGTCATTCGACAGACTCTGTCATTCAACATTTTTACTAGGGACCGTTCATGGACTTGAAACAATTCGCGATCCACAGATCAAAAGAATTTGTCTGCTCTACATAATTCGACGCGAAGAGTAGAATTCTGTCGCTCTTATTACGAGTAGCACTACTCGTCTCGAGTACTCGGAGTACGGTTGCCTATCTTCGCTGAGATCCCGAGTTTTAACCAGCAACAAGAGTGGCTCGTTAGAGTTCTGACCATGATCGATGTTCTATCAACAGACGAAATGTCGTAATAAAAAATTCTCTGGATTCTTTGACGTCTGATTGTGAGTGTTGTTTGCGATCAGACGATTACAGCGTTCGCAACGAAATGGGCAATCTTTAATTGAGACGGGGTTCTATCAAATTATTCGAAATAGAAATTGCACAGTTCTTTGAAAGAGTCCCATTAGCCGCCGGATCGATGGTAATTGATGGGCGACGAAACTGCGAGCGAACGACGCGACGGCCAGTCCCTTTGTACGCGGAGTTTAAGCGGTAATGAAATTGCGCGCACCATCCGGCCTGTGGTTAATTGAAAGATGCGTTCGCCGGGGCGATTATCAATTTGTTATCGCAGGCCGCAGACGCCCTCGAGTCTGCGTCTGGTACATAGGATCCGCTTCCTGTTTTCCGAGAGGAACTGGGCAACTGGGTCGTTCCGGTTACACTTCCGCGAATCCTAATCGAGTCTCGTCACTCGGACTATTTACCGACAGTGCTTTTTCTTATTTATTTTTTTCCCCCGGTGTTGAAAAATTCAGAAACAAATGCAATTTTTACTTAATCTTTCAATTCCGCAAACGTTTCCGTCGGTATGAAAGTCGGGGATCGACGAAATCCGGAACCGATCGGTCGCACGCCGGAAGAGGAACATTCGAGCAATCTCGCTGCTTATTATTCTCGGTGATCGTTAAAACAATGCGACAAAGTTTCTTTTATTTACTGCTATTACCGGTTGGTGGGCGAGCCATCAACCTCGACCCAGTTCACCGTCGAAGAAAAGGTTTTTCAGGGCCCCAATATGTTTCGCGGAACAATGAAACATTCTCACGATATTTCTACCGCCGTTCCCTGTTTTTATTCGTTTGTCCGGCGATTTTTCAAGGTCTGACTCGTTTGACAGAAAGGCTCCGTTCCATTGTTTCATTCCCTCCCCCGAATGAATACGTCCAAAGGATCCACGTTCGAACTCTGCATTCGATTTTGCATCACCTTTTTCACACGTACAATGTAAAAATCTTATGGTTGTTTAAAAATAGAGAACAAACAAAGGTTTTAAAGTCCTGCATAAAAAATATCCGTGAAAATTCGTCATTGATTTTGAACGATGGAAAATCGGAATGGCATCAGACACGAAGCTCAAGGTCGGTTCTTATTCTCGTCGTTCTAATGATCGGAGAGGTCAGACACTCGGTGCTCCAGTCTGGCCGATTCGCCGTTGAAACTATGGACGAACGAACGACGTCGCCAGCCTTTTAACTTTTCGGCCATCGATTATCCCACGAGAGCTTAATGCGATTTCGAGCCTTAATAAACGGCTAACGTGCGCCGGAGAGGCGTTCGAGTTTCCGCGCCGTTATTGACCGTGGCAATAAAACTGAGGGCACATGCATCCGCGCGAACCTCCCAATGTCCTTGAATATTTTCCCATGACGAAAGCAAATTTCTCTGCTCACGACATTAAAATCATTCTTCGTTCGAGATTAAATTTATGTGTGACCGGCTTGGGCCGATTAATTAATAATAACGAAAGAGAGAAAGAAATTGCAAGTTTTAAGAACAATTCCAAGCCACTCTGTGAACCTGACAAGATTTCGAACAGTTTGCGTTACGAATACTATGCCTGCCAAGATTACGAAATCCCGGTCGTTATTATCGGGCAACGTTAGGCGTTCAGCCAAACACGGACGTTGAAATCGTAAACATTTCGTGCGGAAATTTCGATTCGAGCGGATAATCAACGCGTAGAGTAAAACGAGAAATTCATTTGAAAAAATCGGATTGACGTAGTAACGAGATCCCACCTGACGTAGAAGTGTTCGTCCTCCTCGAAGAGTTCGTCGTCGATGACGGACAGCTTGATGGCCTTCTTGGTCTCGCCCGGGTTAAAGGTCAGGGTGCCTTTCGCGCTGATGTAATCGGAACCAGCCTCGGCGGAGCCATCTTCTGTGCAGTAGTCGACGGTGCACAGTTTGCTGAGGTCACCGCCGACCCTGGTCACTCCCACCTCGAAGGTGCCGACGTTCTCCATCACGGTATAGTGTCCGGGCTCGAAGTAGATCCTCATCGCGTTCACGTTCTCGATGTCGATGCTCTCGGCCTCCTGCCGCTGCAGCTCGGCCTTGACCTCGCTCAGATCGCTCTGCGCTCTTTCGCTGATCTTCTTGCTCAGGTTACCGGCACCGACCATCTTCCTAGTGGCTTGAACCCTGTAGAACGCCCTGCTCTTCGGTCCTTTGCCCAAAACGTCTTCGTGCGCCATCACTTCGAGCTGTTCCAACGGCAGAGTGGGATACTTCTTCCTCAACTCCCTCAACGTATTGATGTAATCCTTCCTGGTCTGCTCGAACTCCTTGGCCTCAGGCGTGTCCGCATCCATCATGCGATTAAAGCTGTCCTGCTGCGGCTTGATCTCGAGCTCCACCCCGCCGTCCGAGTCGCCGGCCTCCGCCTGCACGATCACACCCCTCTTGTTCATTCTGTACCCCTTGTGCAGATATTTGTAGATCAACAAACGACGGTCGGCGACGTACGCGGTGAGAACCGTCGCCGGGAAGAAGCTGAACGTCAGGATTCCCTCCCAGACCTCGAGCACGCCCGGGCTGGACACGGCCAGGATCACGTAGAGCCATACGTAGGCGAAGATGCTCCACGTGGCGGTGACGAAGAACACCCGGAGGTGCTTGATCTTCCTGGTCTCGCCGTTAGGTATCACGAACACGCACAGCGATATGATCACGAAGAGGTTGTAAGCGGCGGAGCCGACGATCGTTCCCGGGCCGAGTTCGCCGGCCTGGAAGTTCTTCGCCCAGATCTCTATGATCGACAGTAAGATCTCGGGCGCGCTGCTGCCCAACGCCATCAGCGTCAAGTTCGCCACGGTCTCGTTCCACACCCGCACCACCACGATCTGAGGTTCCTTGCCCGGCCGGCGGACCACCAGCTCCTTCTCCTTCGACGTGATCACCTCGATCGCGGCCATGAAACGATCGCTGATGATCGACACGCCGATGAACAAATACAACAGCAACAGGAAGTAGACGAAACCACGGAATATCAAGTCGGACAGATACAGATTCTCCAACGGTTTCCATATCGGTATCATCAGACCGGGCTCGCAGCGGACGGAGTAGTTCGACATCTTCGGTCCCTTCCTAGATTCTTCCGGTCAAACGATCAACGAATTGCTTGCTACGTTCCGATCTCGCGCCGAGGCGAACGATCCTGTCCCCGGTGTCTTCCGATTCGAATTTCGGAACCCGCGTCTTCCACGAACTCCGGTTGCCCTTACCACCGTTTTCCCATCGTTGCTGCGCGTCTTCGGGGTTCCGCGGCACCGCGCGCACTTACCTCCGCCCTCGAATCTCGTTTCTTCGCCACGCACACTTCACCTTCCCCCCGATTTCCGTGTTCGCTGCCCTCTTCGGATACCACGACCGTTCCTCTCTTTTTCATACGCGTGCTCGTCCGCGATTGTCCGACCGCGAGCTTAGGAACCGCGCGCGTCACCCTGACGAGACATCGGTGAGACAGAGAGAGAGAGAGAGAGAGAGAGAGAGAGAGAGAGAGAGAGAGAGTGACAGAAAGGGTGAAAAGAGGAGGGAATCGGCTACCGAGGGAGCCTGCCGATACCACCGCGGCAGCGAGCTCCCATCACGAAGAGGATCCCTCGAGCACGGAGCGACAGAATCGTACCGGGCCGTGTTCGAACGAACACTGAAAGAGGAGAGAGAGAATACCGGCCAGGAAGAGGAGAGCTGCTGGGTGGGAGTCGGCAGTAGTAGAGTAGTCTCGAGCTCGCCTAGACGCCGCGCCGCGACGCGGACTTCGCTGCCGTTCCCTCTTCTTCTATCCCGCGGTACGTCGCGTCCCTTCCTCCTTCGTCGTTGTCACACCGCGCTCGATTCATCTCTATCGTTCCCGCGTCGCGCACCCTCGCTCGCCGGATCCTTCTCTGTCGCGTCGTTCGTTCTTTCTAGACGTCCCTCTCTTCTCTCGTCTCTCTTCGATGCACGTGGTCGCTGTTCTCTCCTTCTCTCGCCCGAGCATCCCTGCCAACGCACCGGACCAAACGAGCGCATGCGTTCCCACGTATTCCTCCACCCTGACCGACACCCACGATCGGCAGGGAAGGCCCCCACCCCCGACTCCCGGTATCTCACCTACCTAGGCGGCTTGATCAACCTAGGCCAGATCTAACTGGATAGAACGCGGCCTCGCGTCCCTTAATGCCCAGTAGAGACCTGGGAACGTTTTATTTCGAAATCATTTTACCCCAACTGCGCCTTGGGCGTTGCCGATTCCGTCTGCTGGTCATTGAACCGCAGATTTCATTCATTCATGAAGAATAGGAACGATGCACGTTCGAAAGAGGTCATAAACACAATTTTCGGATGTACACATTAACAAATGTTTCGCATAAATATTCGCGGAGTTCTGATTACGTGGTTTTGCATGTACAAATTAATTACTTTTTCCTTTTGCTTCTTCTGTATTATCTCACCATGTTTGATTTCTCTTTGATCTCGTGTTAAAGACTCGGTTTTGTCAGAAACTGCCTGATATCTTTCTTTCAATGGTTCACCCCGCGAAGGTGAACGTGGGAAAGCGAGGGGAAATCGAACAACGATGCTTTTCAAGTTGTTTTATCGATTGCCATTGCACCTTCTCTATAGTCAATCGAAGTGTCATATATTACTACTTTTGTAAACCGAACAAACGTAATAATATTTTCTTTCCGAAGCAGATTCTATTTGGTAGCAACGCATTTCCCAGAAAGAGTTGATACTCGAATTTTTACGCAACGCTGGAAGAGATATCGGGAACGTTGTCGGGCAATATACGCATTTGCATGAACTTGAACAACGGACTTCGAGGATTCGAGTTTTCGCTAGCTTTCGTTTCTGCTCGCAAATGCCACGAGGACCCGAGGGATTGCTTCCAAAGATAAACTTCTACGAACGTCCTCGCTTTTTCTTTTTCTTCGTCGCTGCGGTGGAAACGACGTACCTGGTCGTTGATAGCTCGTCAAACAGATGGTCCCTTAGTGGGAAACATTCTTTTAGTTTTTACTGATCTTTACTTCTTCAGTGATAAATACAAAAATCAGCTTTGTATCGTTATTCAATTTTGATTTCTTTATTCTGTGTCGAATAATTAAGATACTACGTTCTGGGATATGTAGCAACGAGGCAATCGTGTAACGTGATTCGAAAAACCGTAGCTCGTCGCAGATATCGTTGATTATACCCCTTGTAGGCGATACCGCATACGGGAAATGCCGCCTATGGCCAGTATTCAGAGTCGATGCTTATTCTTAAGATCGTCTTAAGAATTTGCTATCCCTGTCTATCCCATATTTCCAGTCCTTGTCTTGTACAGAGAACAGGGACTTAAGCAAATGCTTACGGATGTATTGACTATACAGTCAATCCCAAAAG